TCTTTCAAGATAAAGTTCGGATTTGAAATAAAACATTGTGTTATATTAAAAACTAAAAAATATATTTTTGTAATAATATTCAAATTCATGTTATATTCGGACGGTGTGTTAAGGACCTAACTAAAATTATTTAAATTAAGTGGATTCTAATACTTAATACATATATTGGTTCAGTAAATTGGTTCTATGGGCACATACACTAAATCTTCTTTGCCAACAACTTTCACCCACTGCCGGCACCTGAAAAATGGAAAAATTCAAAATGGACAGTCCCTGACATGAATAACTCTAAATTGTGTAAACAGCTGGCGTTCCTTATATAATAAATGCATAAATTTTACGAATACAGTATACATAAATTTTTATCTACGTTTAATCATTAATTTCTTAAAATCTACTGGGTTTGTCGTGTCACAACTTTGTTCAACAACATCTAATAACATCATTACTTCTTTGGTGTGGTCTGGAAAGTAAATCACGAAAGAATAAATAAATCAAGGGATCTTTGGAGTTTAGCCCACACATAAGTCTGTGACTATCGATACTTGAGGTACATCACTAGTACACAATAAGTACATGAAAATCAATTTACATGTATTTGTAGCCTTTTATACTTAGAATTAAATAAAATTATATCATTTAATGCTTACCGGTCCTCATCCAAAGGAAATTTCGCCATAAACACCCCTTTCTCGCCATTTTTACGACCGGATCGTCCTCCGCAGATTTCACAAGTTAGAAACCGTTTTTTTGGTGGCATTTTACTTGAACACGTAACTAGTCACAGCCGTATCACTAACCACTAATTAACTAAACAAATTATACGTAAATTTATGAAATTATGAAAATAACAACATAAATTTACAAAAAAACGACATTCAAAGTTCAAAACTTCAAACAAAATGGCCGACGGATTAGTGAAAGAAAGAGAACTGTACTGAGGGAGTGGGATGGCAATATCCGGCTACTTCCGTGTGCCATTATTTGCCGTGCCAAGCCCATACATTTTTATTTTTCTTCTAAGTTGCGCTAGGCTGCAGGATTCCTCGTAGTGACACTTACTACTCTATTCAGGGTTACCCGCTCAAATGAAATAACAATTTTAATGTTACCGACAATGTAAATAATCCATAATCACCAGCGCCTTCATATATATGTATATGCATATATGCTTATCCAATAATATCACGTGTTAGGGTTGAAATGATAAAAAATATCACTCCCTTCTTACGTGTATGATCGTACCGTAATATTTTTTTTTCCACTTTTTATTTTTCCACTTTGTGGGCGTGACTGACGTACATATTGATGCCAATTTTTAATGCTAACGGTCACTGCGATTATCCGCGGACATACAGCCAGACATGGCGAAACTATAAGGGTTCCTATTTTACTACGGAACCCTAAAAAGGGGGCAACCGGTTTCTTGCTCACCAGATGGTTAGGCGGAACTGTCAAACATTGACTATCCAATGAGTCGTAGCCCGGAGGTTGGGACGCTCGCTTCTCATATAAAAACGTGGGTAGGGAATACGAAGTCAAAGACGGGTAAAGTGGCCCTAGTGAAGAAGCCGGGGCGCTCTGCGGACTCTCCGTCCGTGTACGGCTCATTGTCTTCTCATTGTATGTCCTCATGGAAGTGATCTGCGGCAGCGACCTCTCGCGTCCGGCCTCAGTCGAGGCCATGGTGATGGCTCCTTACGCCCCCGCCGCCGCAGTAGGCGACTCTCTGGGCATCAGGAATCGAACGACGATCTCCGGCCACCGTGCGCGTATGTTATAGGTCGGCAAACGAGCAGACGGATTACCTGATGATAAACAATCAGTGCCCCCAATGGACACCCGCAGCGGAGGAATTACGTTGTACGAGTAGTGTGTTACCGACCTTTTAAGGATTAGGGTTTTGGAGATTAAGGGATTGGGGAGGGATCGGGGGAGGGGAAAGATTGGGCCTCCGCTAACCTCACTCACACTGAGAAACACAACGCTGTGGTTATTTCACGCCGGATTTCTGTGAGGCTATGGTATCACTCCGGTCGAGCCGAGCATTCGCCTGCCGAAGCTTGGCTCTCCCACACTAAGCTTTGCTTTAGCTTTGTGACTTTTTCTAAGTTATATGTATTTTCTAAGATTATTTAAACACGATTGACTGCTCATACTTTCTCCATGTGAGCAGACGTCTTTACTTAGCAGTGGAGTGGTGGTGTTTCCACCACTCGCGGTTCGCGATACATATACTGGGCGCGTGCGTCACAGCCACCGCTGCGGGACATTACTCTATCGTATTGGAAAACTGTAATTCGTCCTCACACTCAATCCGATAGAGTGTGAGGACGAATTACAATACAATTAACAAACATGTTTAACCCATAACTTCCATTGAAGTTGATCAAAATACACAACAACCTCGTTATGATTTTTCCAATGAGTTCTTTCCACAGATACTTGCGTCGATATCACTTGCAGCAACTCCGTTATTCATTTGTTGATCCGCCTGCCGTTATTCTCATAGCAAACGACGTCCCCGCGTTTCATTGCGCTGCTTTGGGAGATCCCACTCTAAGCGGAATGATGGCATATCTATTTCACAGATGGCACTAGTTTAGTTATTTCAATAGGTGAGTATTTTTTAGCAAACTTGTAGTTTGTGTAAGAAGAAACGGTTTTCTTAGTATTGCTACATTTCGTATCCGTGTTTCGTATAGTGTGAGAGTTCTATTTATTCATTCATTACTCATTTAACTGCGTAGTTAACGTGCGCAAAAACCAAAAAACTGTCCCCCCGAAAATATTTGTTTTCTTTCTTTCTTTCTCTCACCCCCAGGTTGAGGACAAAGTAAATGTCAGATTTTTAGTAAATAAAAATCGCCTCGTTCCTGCTGCGCAAGGCCGAGGTTGTAGTAAATACCATATTGCGCTGAGCATTGCGCTTCACAGATGATGAAGGAAAAGAAAAAAGATGTTGGAAGAAGACCCGCTCATCAACACATGCGTCGTGTGCAGTAAAAACATAAATTTTCGCCACATAAGAACAACACACATAATAATTGGAAATAGATACCAATAGATGGCGCTGTTGACATGATATTGCGCTAGTAGTTTTAAACGTGTAAAATCTTTTCAGTATTGGCTATGTGCGCGAAGGTGGCGACGCGTAGCGTATACAACATTTGCCATTTGGAAGCTGTCAAATAATGACAATGTTAACCATATAATTTTCTTTGCAAATATAAATAAAACAAAAATTGAAATAGTATTGTTGACATTATATAAGTGCAATTTATTCAATAGTTTTACTGCATAACGAATATTGTAATAAAAACCGGCAGCTGATCATTCACATTTGTTTCCAATTTCTGCCGTATTGTGCGCTGCGGTCGTTATCTGTCTGCCACTACTCGCTTTGCACATAGCCAGCCTGTCTGTAACCGTGGGGCAGTCGGCCAGCAGACATCGCCCTCTTTGTAGAGTTGTGCCAGACAGTCAAGGAGCTGTGCAAGGTGATACCTATTAGATAAAAGGAATGCCAATGTAGGATTGGTAACAAGAAAACTTTTGGACGAAACTTTGCGTGGAGTTGGTGCCGTTTGCTGACTAGAATCTATACCACGCTATACTTATATAATAGATAGGTACTTACCGATGTAACAACATACAACACGTAACTGATTGTATTTGATAAGCGAGCATTGATAACACGGCTACATAGTGTGTTCATTGTAGTTGTAAACAAACGAAGTATTAACCTTTGGAACCAGTTTCAGTGTATATGCTTTGGGACGCGGCGCCGCGCACTCACCCGCGCCTGCGCTTATCTGCTTACTTGGTCATTGAGTTATTTAAAACTAAAATAATGTTATTTAACTCTCAATACATTTACTTAAATATAATTAGCTCACATAAAAAGCCTATATATAGATGTGTATAGTAGTTGGTATTTTAGTGAAATCTACATGAGTTTCGCAAAAGGGGAGCCAAATGCTGAAGAGACACTAAGATTCAGGCGTACCTTCAGCGACAAAAAAGTTCCTAGGCGCAACATAAAATGTCAGAACGCGTTTGGTTTCTCAATTTTTCTCATAATTATTCGAATCTGTTATCTTTGCCCAGTTGTCGGTAATTATTGTATTGTTTGGTATCGTTATCATAATTACAAAGATTACGAGGCATGAGGAAAATCTAAAAAGGAAACTGTACATTGTTCTGTACAATCAGTGTAAACAAGTACTTCGCCCGTGACTGCCAACATCGATACAATATCTAAAACATCTGAAACAACCATTTTATGATATATTATAGTACAAGCCACCCGCCCCGGCTTCGCATGGGTGCAATGCTGATTTCTCCACTATTTAATGGATGCTGTTATACATGAAAACCTTACACTACAATTACTAAAAAAGTATATAAAAATCCGTTGCGTAGTTTTAAACAGGGACAGAGAAGACCACATTGTTTTATACTATGTAGTGAAGCCAAACTCGTTTCTCGTTGGATGTCAAACCTCGTGCAAAATACAAGGTAGCTAGTATTCAATCTTGAGGGATCCCCTTACCTGCAATATCACTGAATCAGACCTCTAATGACATTCAGAGTCACACCCCTTCTAGACGTAAAGTTCTCATCAAAACAAATGTATCAAGCCCAAACTCAAAATCATTATAAAATACTTCAGTGCTTCATAAAATTATAGTGTTTTAAAGTACTTCAACTCTGAACGAACAAACAGACTAGTCGTCTTGCAATATTTTGAACTTCGTTAAAATCCTCACTTGGTGGTAGCGGGACCACTGACTCAGTTTTTTACACTAATCAGATTGTTTACTATTACATTAGCAAAGCTTTCCTAGTGTCAATTATCTGAGCAATCATTTATTGAGTCGGTCATGTGGTGCTCGCAGCGGTGCGTGTGACCTGCTGTACCTCTAGCGTGGCTTGCAACTCAGGTCGTATTCATCAAACGCTAGCAAAATTAAGCCATGAAACATGTTTATTTAATTTATTAATAGATATCACATGGTTAATAAAAAAAGGTTTCATCCATTACCTAAACAATGTGTAGATATTATAATGACAAAACATATTCTTAAGTTGTAGGTAAGTTGAGAGCTAAACTATTTATAACTTGATAGTAAAAGTTAAAAAGAAATAAATAATTTTTATAACAATAGCGCAATAACGTCCACATATAGTCCACAGAATGCATGTGATTAATTTATTAAAAAAATAAATCTATTTACACAATAATGTATACAACAATACTATTTATCTAGAACATCCTACCAAACTTAATTAATTAAAAATAATGACTTAGCCACTTGCATTAAAGTTCTACCACTTAGTTTCAGGCGACGCGGCGACGGCGCGTAACCGTCTATCAAAATTAGTAGCTCAGAGGTTTCTTAGTATCAGGTGAGTAAGTCATTTTCAATAAATTCAAGATGTCTCACAGTAGTAACTTACTTATACTTACAAAAATACTCATAAAGTTTCTATAGCGTCACAAACTACTAATTCACAAATTCAACTCCCATGTTTCATCTAAGAATGATAAACTCATTCACCAAACACTTCACAATCACGAGAACTATACAACACATCACCGCGTTCCGTACGTTACGTATTATCACATAGTCCATCACAGCCACTGCTCGGGGAGATGCAATCATATCGCCGTCGCCATCGATGCAGGGCTCCTCACAGTGAAGGAGAGCGGCAGCCCGTGTTTGATGCTCTGCACGATGCCGGACTTGGGCTCCACTACCGGGTGGCGGAGCGTGGAGGGGCCCGGCGCCACCGTGAAGCGGGACAGCAGCGCCGCCAGCCCCGCCAGTGATTGCATCAGACCCAGTCGAAGCCCTGCAATACAACATAAAACGGCATGAGTACTGAGTTACTACATAAACTAGTTATAATCTAATACAACTACATCCCAAAAATATTGTTATTTTGAACACTATGTAGAAGTGTCTCTGTTTGGATATATTTTGATATGTTCTTTTGTAGGCATACAAAAAAATATATGTATAGTCAACAAATACCAATGCCCAAATAAAAAATATATTTTAAGGTGATTGCGAATAAGTTCTCACCTATGCAAGCACGAGGGCCGTCGCCGAAGGGAAGGTACACGAACTTGGTTTTCTCGTCCACCTGCTCGGGCAAGAAGCGCTCTGGACGAAACACGTGCGGCTCCTCGAAGTACTGCGGGTCGTTGTGCAGGGCTTGCAGTGGAATTACCACATTTACGTCTGGATCTATCGTGAGGTCCAACTCCGGGATAGTGTATTTGCGCGCGCATTGGCGCATCAAAAAGCCAAGGGATGGAAACATCCTCATGCCTTCTTTGAAGGCGCACTCCAGGTAAGTCATCTCTTTAATAGCGTCGTAGCTGAGCTTATTGTCGTGCTTCGCCAACACTCTGTCAATCTCTTCCTGCACCTTCTTTTGCACCTCCGGATGATACGCCAGCTGATGCAATGTAAAACTGGTCGCGGAAGAAGATGTCTCGAAACCAGCTGCAAAGAACACAAACACCTGCGCCGCAATAAGTTCATCCGTCAACTCCATGGAAACTGTCTCCGCGCTGCCATCGGGGTTCACTTTCTGTAAAGATTCCACTACCATTTTCCCTTTCTTTTTACATTCAAGTAGCAAATCAATGAAATCATTCCTACCCACTGGCTCATAGTTTCTCTGTTTAAGTATTGCTGTAACCAATTCAAACATGGGCTTTTCCAATCTTTCTAAATATTTTAAATTCTTACAGGCTTCCGGGAACATTTCTTTAAGCATGGCTACAAAAACATCTTTTGGTCTAAAATCAAATATGGATACTCCTAGTTTTCTAAAAGCGGAATCTTCTTCGTTGAGCGAGTCAGCATCAAGACCAAAACCACAAGCGCCTATAAAATCAGTAGTATACCGCGCCATCAGGTCACGAGCGTCCATCTCGCGGTTGGCGGTGGCGGCAGAGAGGGCTCGCGCCTGCAGCTTCTCAGCGCGCTCCACGATCAGCGGGAACATCGCCTTCAGCTTACCACTCGTGAACGCTGGAGTAATGCGCTGCCGCAACATCCGCCAGAGGTCTCCGTCAGCGAAAAATAAGTTGCGCATCAAGGGCTCAATGGCTGTCTTGTGCACGTTTAAGCCGCGAGGGTAGAAGTGTTGGAAGTCCGTTATAAGAATGCGTTTCACTATCTCAGGATCACGAATCACCAGCTCTGGAGATGTTGATCGATAAAATCCTACCACCTTCTCTGTTGGATACTTCCAGTACGCTTCGGCAGCCATTTGTGTAATACTTTTCTTCATGAGGTAGGCTGGTGCATTGTTCCCGACAAAAGCAATTGGTTTGTCATGTTTGACTCCCTTCTTCTGCCAGTAGGAGAAGTTGCGCGTGCCGTACAGGTAGAGCGCGACGAGCGCGACTAGCGCGATGGCGAGCGTAATCATGGTGAGTTCGACGCGCGACTTGTGGAGCGGATCCCTGCTGGGAGTGTGTGCCGCTACTACGCCGACCTGAGTTTATATCTGTCGTTACTCAGCGTTATCTCGCGGTTCGCTTGTCACCACTCATGCAATAATACCTATCTGGTATCACTATACGAGTAGATGGTAATTAACAATATAATTATAATATGGTTAGCAGGTACATACGTAGATCAATAAACAATCAGACATACCTCCTTTATGTATACATAACCATGTATAAGCAGGTTGACTTGATACTAAAATATAAAATCGTACAATACCAAACAGGCCGCCAGGTGGCATCTACAAGTGATTGGATTAACTGATCTCTGCGAAAAAACCGCCCAAGAGCGTATCGGGCTACACTCAATGTAGGGTTCCGTAGCTTCCCGTCTGTCACCATAAGTATCCTCACTTAAGAAATATTGTAAATTTTGAAACCAAAATTCAGCGTAAGTAGCGCAAGTACGGCGTACCATCTCTTAAGGAATTGGATTACTAATTTATACAAACACGACGGGCTATGTATGTTACGGTTTTGGTGATTATTTTCGATTGCATAAACCGTTTTTAATCATTCTTTTTTTATTTTTGATATAAAAAACGATTAGGAATTGTAAAATATACAAACAAGGTTAAATAAAAAAATTTTCCAATTTTTTTTTGTAATATTCAAGCACGGTTCTACTCATCGAATTCAAAATAATTTTCCTAGAAAGTATGTAAGTATGAAGTTCTACTTTCTTGAAGTTCTAATATTTTTTCATATTTTTTTAACGCTTGAAGCAATTTTTGCTGTTAAAATTAAAAAAAAATATCGTAGCGAATACCTTTTCACCAATGAATATATAATATGGAGGACGGGGTACCCTAATAAAATATTTTCCTAAAAGCACGCTACTCCTTAGCGAAACCTCTTAGCGTTTTTCTTATGTGATAGGTCAGCAAACTAGCAAACGAGCAAACGGATTACCTGATGGTAAGCAATCAGCGCCGCCCATGGACACTCGCAACGGAGGAGTTACGAGTGCGTTGCCGACCTTTTAGGGATTAGGGATTTGGAGATTTAGGGATTTAGGAGGGATTGGGGGAGGGGAAGGATTGGGCCTCCGGTAACCTCACTCACACGGAGAAACACAACGCTGTGGTTATTTCACGCCGGTTTTCTGTAAGGCCGTGGTATCACTCCGGTCGAGCCGACCCATTCGTGCCGAAGCATGGCTCTCCCACACATCTAGCAAATGAATCTCATTTGATTCTCATCTCATCCTGGTTTCCGCCTAACACTAAACTTCACTAAATTCATTGTCAACCCCAATCGTATGAGCTCATAATACTCGAAGAGCTTATGTCGTCTGGTTACCTACCGAGCTCCTATGTCCATCTTCTGACTCCATCGTCAGTTACTGCTGCAAATACCATAACATAACATTCTTCCTTGTCGTAACTAGTCTCAACAATAGTTGTAATTTTCACGTATTATTTACACTGTTTTCATCTTTGACTAATACAACCCCAGAGCACCTAGCTTTACTGACAAACACACTGGCGGAATGTTATTCTACTTGAAGTTTTAAACCTGTTCCTGTAAATAGTTCAGCTGTAATATAAATACGTTTTTTACCTTGATTTTCAACTGTAAAGCAAAATATTCCACACTACAACCACAGTAACCTATACATATAACCGGGTCCCAAGAATACCTACCAATTTTAATATTGCTGTGACTCCGCAGACGAATGCTGGTTGAGATTTCATCGAGTACTTTATCTTCATCCTTTTTATCTAATCACTAATTATGTTATTTTTTTGACAAAAATAAACGCAAAATCATGTGATAACAATGAATAAGCAAATTGTTAATTAAAATTTTCACCCTTTGGAACGTGAATCAGCAGTAAGCGCAATCGTAGTATCGGCTTGCATCACTTGCAGGACAAGGTTCGTGCGCCACTCATTTGTAGGGAGACTGTGTGCCCGGCCATGCCAAGTGTAGTGATTGACAGGTCAGACAAAATTTATTTTATTTATTTATTTATTTATTTATTTAGTACAAAAAAGCTTCCTACACTCTCATTACAGGTTATGTTCCCAATACGACAGTGAGGCTTAACCTAGTAAAAAATGAACTCAAAGTACTAAAAATAAATTATACAAAAATAATAAAAGTAACAACAATAACAGCAATAACAAAGAGAGACTTTCGATATATATACATCTTAACCTATGTTTTATAACACTACTAAATTACCTTACATAATAACTACAACTAACTTAAGATTAAATGTAAAAAAAAAAAAAAAATACAACATGAGGAACTATTCACTATCGTAACTTAAAATAAATAATAATGCTCTTGCGAATTCACTCGAAGGAGTTGTAAATATATCAATCCGATTGTGGAGCTTATTAATGATATGGATTGCGCGAGTCAGTGGTGCTTTAGCGAGAAGGTTGGTCCTCGCCGTTGGCACTGCCAATATTGGCGGGCGCCGCCGTCTCCACACGTAGCGGTCTGGTACAGATATATTCAGGTGACGCAGTACTCCCGGGTTATGCTCCAGACCGCGGAGCAACTTCACCAAGTAGGCAACTAAGGCAAATTTTCGTCATCAAATATTACTAAATCATTGGGAAAATACATGTATCTACATACTTCCTTACAATTCTAGCTTCTATAAACATGCTGCAGTGATGGTCAGTGCTTTGTAACAACTGGCCGTGTATTGCATAACTTTTCCGTACTTTTTGCGTGACTCATTTGTTTATCAGTTCGAGTCGACACCGGCGCGCGTGTAACTGGTTTCGCCGAGCGACCGCGTACGGCGATGAATGAATATGGTTCATTCATCGGTGTACGAGTACAGGACATTTGAATAATTCATAAGTACCTATTAAATAAAAGTTAACAACAATTAAAGGAGACAGGAGAGATGGTGTAGGCCTTGAGAGTGGAAAAACTGTAGATGGAGGAGTCCGTTTGGCTGACAAAAGGAAGGAACGAGAAGATGATGATGTTATCACGGTAAATAAAGGATCCAAATTGAAAAATAACTCTTTGGAAATAAGTTATGATTTGCATAACGAAAATAATGATGTTACAGAAATATCAAATCACGAAGTTCGCACTACACCGCTGTGAAGCCTGCCTAAGCCAATGCCTATGTCTATGCCTATTATTATCCCTTATAAAAATACAATTCGATAAACTATTTCCTTTAAAACGTAAAAATGTTCAGTGTAAATTTGTATTCTGTGACTGGGCTACACCAGGTATTCGTATAAGTAGAGACAGGTTATTTGAGCTATACGGCCTGAAACCATTTAATAGTAGCGAGGCTTTTCGCAGACATGTTTCCAAATATTCAAAAATATTTAAAAGAGTATGTAAGCATGCTAAGTCGCTCCACATTAGGCTAAGAACTCACGGAGCGATTGTCGCCCGCGTCCGCTGCGGTTGCGGGCCCGCAGCTTCTGTAGAATTCAAATATTTATATAAAAAATTAAAGCACATTTCACGACGCGTTTTACGCCCGCGGTGTATGCGGTTGTATGCGGCTCCCGCTGTATCGGCGGGCAACTAGTAGAATCGCGCGGGCCGCGGTTACCCGCAGCCTCGGCGGGTGGCACCCGCGCGCTTTGCGATCGGTTGGCGAGCGACCGCGGGGGCCGGCGGGTCTTCTGTGAAGTAAATATAACGCATCATCCGATCATCGCCCGCCACGTTTGCGGGCGATGATCGTAACCGCGGCGGGTGTGTAACCGCGCAAATAACCGGTCTCGTGAGTTTGGAAATAAAACCGCAGTTCCGCTACCGCGGCGGGCACGGTTCAAAATCGCTCCGTGAGTTCTTAGCCTTAGTAATAAAATCAGGACCGCGGAAAACAAAATAAAAGCTACCTGGAATATAATTAATAAAGAAACAGGTAGAAATAAATCACAAAACACTGAATTTAATTTAAAAACCGAAAAGGGATATACTAGTTCAAATTCGTCAGTTGCCCAGGAATTCGAAAGATTCTTTAAAAATATTCCTCTTAAAACTACGGAAACGTTAAAATCATCTCCAGCACTTTCTGTCGAGCTTCTCAGGGGTAACGTCAAAGAATGTCCTTCTGACTTTAGCTTTCAATACACAACCCCCCAGGCAGTAATAAAGGCGTTCAATGAGATCAAAGTAAAGTCAACTGAAGATCTTTGGGGAATGTCTGTTCGAGTGTGCAGGTCGTTTATAGAGACAATTGCGCCGCACTTAACTTTCATTTTTAATAAAAGTGTAGATCAAGGGGTTTTCCCGGATTTAATGAAACATAGTAAAGTAGTTCCATTATTTAAATCAGGTGATAGTACAGAACCTAATAACTATAGGCCGGTCTCTATTTTGCCAGTGCTCAGTAAAGTGTTCGAAAGGTTGATGCTTACTCAAATGCTGCGTCACTTTAACACGAATTGTATTTTCCATGACCATCAATACGGGTTCACCAAAGGACGTTGCACTACGGACGCAGGAGTATCACTTATAAAACAAGTTTTCAACTCGTGGGAAAAAGCACAGGATGCCATCGGAATATTTTGCGACCTTTCAAAGGCATTCGACTGTGTTGAGCACGAGACGCTGTTACTGAAGCTAGAACACTACGGCATTCGGGGGGTATCCCTAGATTTATTGAAATCATACCTTCAAGAAAGAAAAATTAAAGTACAAGTCAACAAAGTTAACTCACTGGGTGCTAGCGTATCTATGGGCGTACCGCAGGGCTCAATATTAGGTCCTTTTCTATTTTTAGTTTATGTAAATGACCTGCCCCATATGTTCCAAAATGAACCGCATATGGTATTATTCGGTGATGACACTTCATTGATTTTTAAAATATATAGACGAACAAACAAATATGACGAAGTTAATAATGCCTTAATGAAGGTTCAAAATTGGTTTACAATAAACAACTTATTACTAAATGATAAAAAGACTAAATGCATTAGATTTATTTTACATGATGATGATATATTATTAAATGATCAGAAATTAGAATTTGTAAAAGAGACTACTTTCCTGGGGATCACTGTAG